TGTTTAGATTAAACAAAATTAGAAAAACTAAGCCTCAGAATAAGCCTCAGAATAAGTATACTGCATGCAATATTGTATAAAATCGGGACATTTTGTATGAATATGAATTGTCTAGTTAATGGTTAGCCACTATTATTTGTTTTTAGAATTTCTGGATTTTTCCGGTATGGTTCCTCTAAAGCTGAAATTCAGAAACCAGTGGAGTAATTGACTCAATGGTTCCTTCAATCAAAGAACTATTCATTAAATACACCTTGGCTTAGAGCCGCAGTTGATTACCTACCTAAAAAAATCTGCTGAGCTTCAAAATCCCCAAGCATTAAAGAAACAGAGCAATATTTCGTTTTATGGCATCAGGTGGAACAGTCATAGGCACCATTCCCCCAGTAAATATACTGTGGCTTTCATACCTCCTGAATGGAAAGACATTCTCCCTCCCTTCCACCCAAGCAGTGGATATTTTGTTAACTCTGATTAGATGTATTCTAGTGTGGCACACTTGAAAAAACAAACACAGAGAGCAATATTTTATTCTTTAATAGACATCTTCATAAACTTAATGTTCTTCATTAATTATAATGTTATTGAACAACAACAGCAAGGCTCTTGAATTCCCTAGTTTAGAATAATGTAACACGGGATACATATAGAGATATTTAAGAGAATTAATAGCGTAAAGAAACCCACATCAAATTTCTCTTGATGTGATTTTAGACACATTTTAATTGTAAGATCTGTCAGTCCTGGCACTTGCCACTTGAGGGAGTGATGCACGAGGTGCTGGTTGGACTCCAGTCTGAGTCCATTCTCAGCAGATTTGCATATGCTGGGAGCTCACTCAAGGTGGAAAACTCACACATTGTGCGAAGATATTTTGGCTACAAAGGAAACTTGAAATGCCCTGTATTAAAATGTTTTGGACAGTTACCCTTTGGGATGGTTTTATCTGTTCCTCAAACCCCTGTGTGGAACTTGAGAAGACCTTGCTTGCCAGAGGTTTGGTTCAGGTCAGAAAGAATGGGGTCATTCTGGGTGGTATCACCGTGGGGAGCTGAGGTGGATGGTACAGTCAGGCAGCTCTTTGCAATGCTTGTTATGCTGTCTCTGAATTAGTACACGGAATGCCTGTTGCTTATGGATTTACTTGCCTGGGAGTAGAGAGATTTCAGTCTCCTGCTTTAATCCAGTCTTGTTTTACTGAATTATTTATTATTTGCAAGAGCTGGGAAAGGTTGATTCATGCTTCAAAAGAAAGGCTGTGAGACATTATAGGGCAAATGCCTGTTTTTTAACTGAGGGCAGGAACCCTCTCTGTATATTTGATATATAAACCTTGAGTGTACATGAAAAAATCTTGATATAATTTAAAATAGATGAAAAAGTGGGATACTTACTATTAATAATCTGTTTCTTATGTTTTTCATTATTTCTTTTGACTTTTAATCAATAGTTACTGTCTTTGTTATTCTAACAGAAATTTGCATAAAGTTGAAATTATCTGTTGCTGTATATTTATGTAGTAAATCTGTCAGTATGTATTGGTCCTTTTGTACCCGTGGGGTTGAGTGTGCATCATAACATTTCTGTACCTCCTAATATTTACTCTACTTTATTCTGAAGAGACACTTTAATTATACAAGGACTATATTTGTGCAGGGGTTTCTAATAACAATATGTGATACTTTCTGAGCAGCTATTGTATATGAGTGCAGGCAAGATAGGAATATTGTAAAGTCTTGGTGTTTTGCTAACTCAGTTAAATAGCAATATAATCACACAAAATGCAAATGCTACCCTACTGCCCTGGAAACCTTAACACTTTCCTTTATAACACCCGCCGATAAATTGTTCAGAATGAGAAAAAATTAATGTCCATAATTGGTCATGGTTTTCTAGCAGGACTTAAATCCACCTTTATTCAGCCAGTGCTTGAACTAACTAGTTTTTAGGAGGAAAAAAATGAAGAGAAAACCCCTTATAGCATATCTGAGAGCATTTTGTCTGGGACATTTCATGTACTCTAAAGGTACAAAGTTCGGAATTCAAAAATCTTATTAAAATTCCATTCACCTCAGATCTGATTAGCAGCATCAAGAGCTGAGAGGATGGGAATTAAATTCACCAAGGCACCTCTTATATCATCATTCTGAAAGAAAACATAGGCAAGTGACTGAACTAGAATGTTTATGCTTTATTCCAGGGAAAAAATATATTCAGTGAGCTCACAAAGTACAATATCTGTTTCAAAAGAGGTTTTGTTACATCTGTACTGATTAACTTCTCCATGTAAATAAAGAATAACCTACTGCATTCTGTGAGAGCTTGCACTTCTTTTCAGCAGTGAGCACATATGATAAAGCATGTTAGGATATTTGTTGGAAGAAATAATGACCTACCAATAGCTGTCCAGCCTTTATGAGCCACTCAAGGTACAGTAGCTCTATTGTTACCTGTTATTAGTCATCTCTTTTCCAGACTGTTGAGTCTACACAGTTCTTTCTTGCATGGAAGCCTTTTCATGCCTCTGAATATCCATAGAGTCTTTTTCTAATTTTTTTTTTTAAATCTACTGTAGTCTTTCTCACTCAAGAGGACAATTTCCTACCAAGTACTTTGTTTTTTCTTACTGCTGTTGCACACTAAAAAAAATAGAAAAAGCTGATATATATTGGATGTTTGCATTTTAGTGCATGGAATGTATAGGGTATGAAACATCTCATATGCTATTAAATATTGTTGAAATACTGGTCTTTGTTTAGCAAATGATGTTTTGAATTCCAGGAAATGACCTTGTAAAAATGGAAGTAAGAAAAGGAAATTTGCTTCTGTTAGGGAGGGAAAATGAAGGAAAGAAAGTTAGTGCAAACAAAGGGAATGACAGAGGCTGAATCAGAGAAAGGTGGGGATTCTCACAGGAATGTATGGAGTGTGGGTGAAAGGTGCCTGTGAATTTTTAAGTCTAGTGATGCCCACTTTCCAAATGTTCAATCATCTTTTCAATTCTACCAGTTAATTAAAAATCCCAGAGAGACCAAACTCCCCTATTTGCACTTTGTATTGCTACTGTTGTAGCAAACTACTACAGAGGAATCCAAGGTACTTTAAGATAGGCCATGTTTCACGTGTGACTGCATTTGAATGTTATAGAATTCTGTAGGCAGCTGCTTGAAAGCTCCAAGCTTTGTGTCTGTGTTTTGACCCTCATCTCACTGTCTCCTCTGACTGGTCCTCTGGAGTGCCATTAAATTGTGCTTCCAAAGGGGCTGTTAGGATCTATGATTTTCTCTTCAGCAATAAATGGTGATGGTGGTAGTCACCAACAAAAGTGGCGAGGCAGAAATGGAATTCCCCATCATTGTAGATGCTTTCAGGTTAATGAGATTAATGTCGGAGTAGAGGGAAGAGGTAAGGTTTAGGGCATGTGGAGTGCCTGGGAGTACATCAACCCAGAGAGCTCCCTGCAGGATATCTTTGCCATGCATCGAATCATTTATGGTCATAGGGTATACTTTTACTTTGCTCTGGTCCTCCTGCATGATCCAGCCCAGGATCTGTACAGACACAGTGACAACATGTATGACAGGGCTTGAATTTGTAAGGGAGTACCTGGGACAGGTTGACTGACCTCCTGTTGACAGGTGTCCTTGGAAAGCGAGTTGGTGGCAGTGACCTCCCTATTCACAACAGCCAAGCAGCTGAAACCATCAGCCTTCTCAGCGGACACACATCCAAAGCCAGTATTCTTCCATGAACTTGGGTCTGCCTGGGGCAGCAGTCACATCTGGGCTGCCTTGCAAAGCACAGCTTCTGCCTACGTCTGAAAGTGTTTTCTGCCCTGTAGTGAAATGTGGTAAATTCTAGGTTCTCATGCCTTGTAATGTGTAAATATGCTTATTTATTGTTGAAAGTAATAACTTACTCAGTTTGAAGTACATGAAGTGTGACTGTGTCCATCATAGCAGGTTGGGGCACGTACTGGACTTTTATCTTGTGTACCTCATGGCTCTGTTGTGTGCAGCTGGAGCATTTTCCTCATGTCCAAATGTGTGTGTCTGCAGCATCTGTGTCTGTAGGATCAATCTGGGCTGTAACTGCAGGAGTGCTGGACATACCCCTCTGCAGAGCCAGTGTTGCAAAATGTGGAATATGTACAATTTTCACAAGAAAGGGTGTTCTTTGTTTGATCTTTGTATACTTTCAAGCCTAATCAACAAGAAGGGAAATTTAACCCATGAAAGAAAGTTTTAAGTGATGTCCAGGTGTTAGAAAAACAAATTACTTGTTGGTGGAATTACCTTGTCATGGTTTAGGGCTTGACATGTTCCACTGAACTCAGACCTATGGGAATGTTGCCAAAGCCTGGGAAGAAGGATGTCCACTGATACTGGACACAAAGAATACAGGATTTACAGGAATTCAGGATTCACCAGAATTCCCAAGATAACGAAGAAAGTAATAAAGACAACTCAGCAACTGTGCCGAGTCAGCTCCGACTGGGTGAAAGGTAATTGTGGCAGGGGGAGATCACAAACACCGACTCATGGCCCACCAACCCGAAAAAGACTGAGCATGCAGAGTAATTAGCACGAGAAATGAGGGAATCATTAACAAAGAAGATAGAATTCTGATAAATCAGAGAACCATGTAACTTGTAGCTAATGAACACTAATTTCTTTGTCGGCTAGAATGTATACAAAGTTTTGATAATTGCCGTGCTTGATTTGTAGAATAACACCGCGCACCCAGGCTCGCGCAACTCTGAGAGAAATAATCAACGTCTCTCTCGAGTGTGTAATTATCGCCCTGTTGCATACTGAACGACGGATGCGATTCTGGCGGGTAAGAACCGCGCCCGCGGGCCCCGAGCGCCGGCCCAGCCCGGCGGAGCGCGCAGGCCCCGCCGCGGGCCCGCCCGCGCTGCCCGCCGGGGGCTGTGGGCGGGAGCGGCCGCCGCCATTTTGTGCGGGAGGCGGCGCGGGCCGGCGGCAGCGGTTCGTGAGGCGGGGCGGGGGGCCGGGGCCGCCCTCCGCAGGAGCGGGCGCGGCTGTTGGGCAGAAGGGGCCCCGCGCCCCTTGTTCTCCTGGGGGTGGGTGACTCTTGACGGAGAGCAGGGCTGGGAGAGACTGTCGTGCTGCCCGGGGTCCCCGCGGGCCTGTCCCGAGCAGCGTCCGGCAGCCCTGCGCTCTGCGTGAGCTCTCCCCTCGCCTGAGAGAGTAGAGAGGTTCGCTGTGGGAGGTTCTCTCTAGGCGCGAAAAGTGAAATGGTGATATTTGGCTTCTGGTCCGGGAGGGCGGCAGAGCAGCGGCCCCCGGCACCCGCGGAGCCCCTCGGGACTGCTCCCGGTGACACAAACACAGCTGTCTGTGCACACAGACACAGCTTGGTGTATTTTTAAAAAACTCGTGTAAGAAATTCGTAGAGACTGGTAGGTACAGTACAATTTACTCAGAATAAAATTGCCGTGTTTTGTGTACTTTTTTACTGATTGTATAATAGCAAACGATTGGTGAGCATATCTTACGCTTTTGGAGACAAGTACTGAAGGTTTCAGAATATAAAAGGTGGTTACTTTTGAACACTTAATATGGCTTGTGTTACAGTGTATATTCGGCAAATTGACGGTGTGAGTCTTTGCTTGTTTCTGGACACCGTGACCAAGCAGAGCTGAACTGTAAACAAATCTCAAAAGTTTGCAGCCTTATAATTTTACGTGGACTTTAAAAAGAACAACAAAAGGAGTGATCTTGGATGGATCCTGTTTTGAATTTGACATCCTTTCCAAAACTGATAGTTTTATTTGGTTTAGGTTGGTTGGGCTTTTTCCATAGCTTAGAAGAATGTTTGCATCTGTGGTTTCATCTCAGAAATAGGTGAACTCTCCAAGGATTTAAATATGACTGACTTGTGAAATGGATAAATTTCCACACAGTGAAAAGTGAAGTTTTTACTTAGCTGCATGCAAAGGCCTAACACTGACAATTAACTGTATTCTCTATATTGTTCCATGCTTCCACTGTTATTTTTAAATTCTTCATGGTTGCATCAGCAGTGTTAAGATCAAGATAATTTTTAAACAAGGCATATTCTAGATATTTTCAGGGATTGAGAGTTGTTTGTTCTGTTTGCCAATATTTGCTAGATTTTTTTTTTGGTGGTACCAGTAAAATGTACTAGAAACTAGTAGTAGTTTCTAACAACTGTAACCATTTTCTTTCTAGTGTACTGAAGCATGTTTTTACCACGATCTGTTAAAGTCAAGAGGACTGCTGATGAGGACAAAAATTGTACAGCTAAGAAAAGTAAACTGTCTCCTGGAGGATCTTTGCTAGAGCAGACCACAGAGTTCCAGGACTGTAAATCATCTGGAACAGAAACTTCTGCTTCAACAGCCAATTCATGTGAAATTGTACAAGAGCACACAGAGCCTGCAGCTGCAGACCTTGGTGTTGCTAATGCACCATTGGCAAAGGACAGCCAAAATACTGAGGATGATGGCTCTTTGGAAGAACCCATAAAATCCTTCAGCAAGTCCCAGCGCTGGGCAGAGCCTGGAGAACCTGTGTGTGTTGTGTGTGGCCGCTACGGGGAGTACATCTGCGATAAAACAGATGAAGATGTTTGTAGTTTGGAATGTAAAGCCAAGCACCTTCTACAAATTCAAGCAAATGAAAAGCAGCTAACATCTGATCAACCCACAGATTCTCAAGCAGAAGCTCACCTGCTTAGTGCACCTTATTTCTACAAAGATCATTCCTTTATTTTAGGTTTGCAAGATGAGCAGGTTGAGAACCTTAAACTTCAGCTGGGTATTGCTGTCCAGGGCCGGCAAGTTCCAAGACCTATTGTAGAGTTTGAACACTGTGGTTTTCCTGAAACTTTAAACAATAATTTAAAGAATTCTGGCTATGAAGTCCCAACTCCCATCCAAATGCAAATGATCCCTGTTGGACTATTAGGGAGGGATATTCTGGCTAGTGCTGACACAGGCTCTGGAAAAACAGCAGCTTTCCTGCTTCCTGTTATTATGAAGGTTTTGAAAGAGGTAATGAAACTTAAGATAGTTAGAGAAAGCAGTTTGCAGCTTTGTCTGTTGGATTCCCAATATAATGGAGAATGTGATTGCAGTGTTTTTCATTAGCATTTAGTGATTTATTTGACTTTTGGTTGATCAAGCATTTGGTTCTTGGAGGGGGAGGTGTTAATTATTTTTAATTAAATTTAATGATTTTTCACTTTGGTCAGGAGATGAAGCAACTCTATCAATATTACCTCTTACACAGTTCCTGCTTGTTGAGAAAGTTATTAAATTCTGTGGTAGACTTCCTAAATGACTTAAAATATAGAAAGCAAAAATAATTCCCACCCCTCTGTAAGTTCTTCCTGTATCTTCATATATCAAATGGCTGAAAGAGATTTGTTGGAATTTGTGTAACTTCATAGAGTAATTTCTCTTGGAATATATTTGGTCAATTGTCAAATAATTACAGAAATTAGGGGTTTAAAAAAATCTGAAATCCTGTCGTTACACAGTCTCCAATTTTAGAATATGGGAAAAAGAATTAAGTAAACTGCTTTGTGAGAACATGAACGTATGATTAGAAGCAATGGCAAATAGTATTCTGTAGTTTGTGTGTAGTTCAGAATTGGTTTTTGCTTTGTGCTTTAATGCTGTTTTTGTTATTCAAAAAGAGATGCATAAAAACATATTACAGAATTCTGGACATGATTCTACTGATGCTTAACTGTTTAGATACCTTTACAGAATGTATATGCACACAAATGTGTATAAATTTTTTTCAAATGAAAAATTGAAAGATTATTTAAGTAACTCTTATATTCTTTAAAGTACTCTAGCAACTCCTAAACTCTAGTTTAAGAACTAAAGCACTACATAGAAGTAGGTAAGAAAGGTGTATACACTCCAGCAGTTCCTCTGTCTGATAATCATTGAAGTCTGCAAGACAGATACATGCTTATAGTAATATGTGCAAAATTGGAGTCTTGATGAAAAACGCATCTGTACGCAATCTTTCTCATTCTTCATCTTCAGGGCACTGTACAAGTTAATATGTATATTGAGAAGTAATTTTATTTTACTTAAAATAATCCTCATTTTAATGTAAAAGATTACTTTGGGACATGTGAAAGCTTTTTATCTAAATAATAAAGCAATTCCACATTAATCAGATTTTTCCTCTCTTTTCTAGACAGAAACTCCATCTGCCCTTATTTTGGCCCCAACGAGGGAGTTGGCAATTCAGATCGAGAGCCAGGCGAAGGAGCTGATGGCCGGGTTACCCAATATGAGGACAGTTCTGCTGGTGGGAGGTTTGCCCCTGCCCCCGCAGCTGCACCGCCTCAGGCAGAGTGTGAAGGTGAGCTCTGACTGAGAGTGGAGAGCCACGTTGTCATCACATTCACAGAAAACAAAAATGTTACTGGTGACACCTATGAACACACAAAGATGGCTTTCTCCTAAGTCTAAACTACTGAAACGTTTGTTACTTCCTGAAACTTTCACAGTTACAATTTTTAAAAAGCTTTTTCACTTCTGATTAAACATCTAATAGGTTTTTTGTTTGTATTTAAAAAGTTTAATGTGTGATATTGCTGCTTTCAAAGACTGAATTATGCCAATATTTTACACAAGGAGTTGTAATTGAGAGGAAAAAGTAGTTTGTTTCTCATGCAGATTTTGTTGCTTGTAACTTAGACACCTCCGTTAAAGTTTTAAAAGGTCCATTTCCTCTTAGGGCTTCATAATTTGTAAGTTTTCTAGAAGTTTATTACTTGAATGCAAGTAATTTCATTCATTACTGCTGTTGTTATGTATGTGTTGGAATTTTATGGCTTTTCTAGGATGGTCCTCTGTCCTTTCATGGAATTTCTTACTCCTGTGAGGTTTTTTCCTCTCCTCCTTTTTTTTTTTTCAGGTGATAATAGCAACACCTGGAAGACTTCTTGAGATTTTAAAGCAAAGTTCTGTCCAACTGCATGGCATAAAAATCATAGTGGTGGATGAAGTAAGTATTTATCAGAGCTCTATTATCTCTACAGAGGTCCTGGCAGAGTAATGTGAGTGGCTAATATCACTTGATAAAACATACAGAATGTTTGTTATAAAAATAGAATCTATTTCTTAGGAGACAGTTTTATTTTTTGTCACAATTTGAAATGTGTTCAAATAATAACTGTTCTATTGCTGTAAGGATTTAGGTACCTGACAGGATAATACTGTTAGACCAGTATGAACCATTTGTTTTTAATTTTCTCACTTAGCTTTTCTTTGGACTGTAAATGCTCTTGCATTTGGATTATTACATTATAGTTCTTCTGTCAGTTTAAGTTCATGGATCCTGCTGTTCATGGGAAAAAATATGGTACAAATGTAGTATTTTTCATTTAGGTGGATACCATGCTAAAAATGGGTTTCCAGCAGCAAGTGTTGGATATTTTGGAAGACATCTCTCATGATCATCAAACCATACTGGTGTCAGCCACGATTCCAGTGGGCATTGAGCACTTAGCAAATCAGCTTCTGCACAATTTTGTCAGAATAACAATTGGAGAGAAGAATCTGCCGTGTTCCAATGTTCGGCAAATTATCTTGTGGGTAGAAGAACCATCTAAAAAGAAAAAACTGTTTGAAATACTAAATGTAAGTTTAATATTTTTCTCATAAGAGCAATTTATAAAATGATTCATGTGTTTCCTTATCTCTGTCAGGTTCTCATCTCATGATCAGGACAAATTGAATCCATGCTGATGATAAACAGCTAATGGTTGTAATCCCTTTTTAAATGAACTGTTTAATTTTACAGGATAACAAGCTCTTCAAGCCTCCAGTCTTGGTGTTTGTGGACTGTAAACTAGGAGCAGATCTGTTGAGTGATGCTGTTCATAAGATTACAGGCTTGCAGTGCACAGCTATGCATTCTGAAAAGTCTCAGGTGGAAAGAACAGACATATTACAGGTTTGTACCTGCTCAAGTTCAGTGTGTTTGGTAGATTTCAAATGGCCTTTTTTAAAAATGTGGCTTCATTTGAATGACTGAAGTCATAATTGACTGCTTTTCTGCAGTAATACCTGAGGTATTGCTGGGGGACATGAGAGACAGACAAGACTAAGCAAAACTGTAGATAATAAACCTATTTTAAATGTAGATAAATACAGAGGCTGTTTCTCAGATTATTTGAAATGGGAATTTAAATAAGCATTTAACTGTAACTGATAATCTTTGCAATTAAAGTTGTGGGTTTGATCTCTCTTTGGTTATCTCTCTGAATTATATTCCTGTTTAAATCAAGAATACAGGGAGCCATTCTCTTCTACAATAGAATAGTCCCACTGGGTGTGTTCTTACAACAAATAACTAGGTGTTGACCCATGCTTAGAGAGGTTCAAAATACAAATAGGGAAGGAAGAATTAATTTTGGGTTCTTCCTTCCTTGCCAGGGATTACTTCAAGAGAAGTATGAAGTTATAGTAAGTACTGGAGTCCTTGGACGAGGGCTTGACCTTGTCAATGTCAAACTGGTGGTGAATTTTGATATGCCTTCAAGTATGGATGAATATGTACACCAGGTAAATAAATAAATTGCTAAAGCTTTATTGAAAAGTATATTGAAATATGACATCCACTGTGGAAATTTAAATGTAAACAGAAATATAATTTTCCTCCTCGGAATTTTTTTTATAGGAAAGGAAAAAAATGGTGCTGGATATCTCTTCTATAAGTCTGTTATGTAAATTACTCAAATCTAGAATAGTGTTCCTATTATCTCCTATATACATTACTAAAACCTAGAAGAGTGTCTTTAAATCACTTACTTTTGCAGTGTACTTCTTGTTTCCTAGTTTCGTACTCTCTTGTATCTTTTTGAGTCTATAGAAAACAAAGTTTGCCTTTTTTTATTGTGTGTAGAAAGGCCAAATGCCCCTTTTTCAGGTGCAGCTCATCTGCAGTGTGGGATATGCATTAATAGTCAGGAAAGCAGTCATGAACTTGATTTCTTCTCCTCTTTCTAGTCAAACATCTCCTCTGATATTTTTTTTTTCTGTGGATTTGCTGCTTTAGAAAAGATGATCTGTGAGTTTCACGTGTGTGTGTGTTTATGTGCGCAGTCCCCAGCCCTAGTTTAGCTGGCACAACAAGAGAACTCATTCTTGCCTTCTTTGTGGCATGAGGAAGACAAATTGTTACTGTGTGCAGTTCTGAGAACATCAGCGATGGGAAAAGAAAGCAAACTGGAGGGAGTCCAGGTGAAGTCAGGGGGCTGGCACATGTGACACTGCAGGACAGGCTGAGGCAACTGGGCATGTTTGGGCTGCACTAGAGACTTAATTGCTGTCTTCCATTTGGGTGATTACAGAGGAGACAGAGCCAGACTCTCCTTGCAGATGCCCAGGGAAAGGCCAAGAGCCAGCAGTTGTAACTTTCTGCAAGGGAAATTGTGGCCTCATAGCAGGGAGAAAGGCAGTGATGGGACCTTTGTGCTTCAGACACTTGAAACAAGGCCTTGAGGGAACTGGTCTGACTTTGAAGTAAACCTGGTTCCGAACAGAGGAGGATCTCTGAAAGTTATCCACTGTCATGAACTCCTCAAGTAGCCTGTGCTGTTAACTGCAGAATTCCCCTCTTGGTTTTAATTATCTTTCTCCTAAAGTTTCAAGCATGTATTAAGTAAATAGAAATGGTCTTTCCTAGCATCAAAACAACACCAATATTAACAGTTTAGCTCTTCCTAAATAGGGAGTCTTTGTAGATTGTTTTCTAATTTGTTCAAACATTTTGATAATATTGGTAAATAATTTAAAGTTACTAGGATATTGAAAGTAAAGGGTATTTTTATGGCCATGCTGGCACATACTGTACTTGCTAGGAAGTATAAGTATTTGGCATCTCTATGGTATTTTTAAAAACCTTTTCTTTGGATCAGATTTACTGTAAACCTTTGCCTTATATCTCAGTATCAATATCCGACCTTAGTATGTCCCATAAACAAATCGTAATTTTAAATACATTTCACCTACAGCTTCAGATCTACATATCCTGAACTCAGGAAGTTTATTGTAAATACATTTGTGCTAAAAGGTTGAGAGAGATTTGGTCCTGTCACATAGATTTATTTGCTGTTTTGTAATAAAAAAATAAACTTCTGAGACTATTTGAAGGACTTCCATTTATTATTGCTAACTTAAAATGAATTTATGCTTTTTCAGGTTGGAAGAGCAGGGAGATTGGGTCACAGTGGAACTGCAATTACTTTTATCAATAACAACAGCAAGAAACTCTTTTGGGATGTTGTGAAGAGAGTGAAACCCACAGGCACCATTCTGCCCCCACAGCTGCTTAATTCGCCATATCTGCATGACCAGAAGAGAAGGGAACAGCAGAGACTTAAACAGCTACATAATACCGTTGTAACAGGAGATAATATTATGGACATTATTAAAAAACACAACAAAAATAGTTCTCAGAGGTAATAAAGGTATATTTATAGTTATGTAAGTACAATAAAATTATGATTTAAAATAAATATTAAATGCTGCCTTGTGTATTGTACTTTTAAAAGAAATTTGTACTGTTTTTTAAGAAGTCTTCTTTTTACCTCATCTTTAATTTGAAATACAGGCTCTTGTGTGCTTGAATTACTGTAGTACCTAGTAAAAATACTCTGTAACCCTTTTTCAAAGCCAGTAGTCCTGGGTCTTGTTGGCAAGAAAAAATACATTAGTAGCAGATTAGCCTCTGCAAATCTGTTCCTGTTAGCTTCAGTAAAATCTTCCCCTTGGGACTGTTTCTCCAAGTGGTCAGTATGCTCTCTTGGGGTTTTCCAAGAACATGCATGCAAGTCTTGTTTGTGAACAGTACTGAAAATTTAGTTTCTCTATTAGTGCCTGTGTACCAGCTGGAAGTTCTGCTGAAGGACTTTGCAATACCAGAAATAGTTTGCTATTAGTGTAACTCCATGGAAGAGAAATAAGATAAAACCTATCATTATTATTTTATTTAATCAAAATGATGTCTTCTTTAGAGATGAAATTTGTTGAGTTTTCTGTCTCATTTGAAATAATCCACTCCTGTCTATAAAATGTTGTTGTGTAACTCTCCTGTGCACACCAGTTTAGGTATTAGACGCACGGGCATCCCTGCTGTACCAAAAGCTCACAAATTGTGTTCAACAATCATGAAGTCAAACAACAGTTCTACATCACGTTTGCCCCAGGAACTAAGTGCAAGTAAAGGTAAAATTGTATCAGCAACCCGGTTCAGATATCTTGTAGCAAGCTTTCTCATCGTTACTAGGTTTAAATGGCTTCATATAATATATTTTATTATCAGTGGGTCTTTCATGGGTGTACATAGCTATTGACTCCAACACCCTGTTTTTATTTCTTCCCTGGTGCTGCTTGGAGTGCCAGCGTTACCTGAGTGTCACAGCCATCGTGTGTTCTTTTAATTCCTTTCGCACCCGTTGTTTCCTGGCCTGTGGCTGTAGAGGGCAGTGCGGTGTGAGCGCGGTACCCGGTGTGAGGCGGCCCGTGCGGATCGGGCGGTGCTGGCCGGGCTCGGGCGGGCTCGCCGCGCTCCCGGCGCGCCGCGGCCGCGCTCGGTCCCCGCCCTGCGCTCAGCCCTCACACCCGGCCCGCGGGGCGCCCCCTGGCGGCGCGGGCCGCTGCGGGGCCGGGCCTGGGCGGGGCCTCGCGGGGCCAATCGGGCGCGCCCGGCGCGTTCAAACGGGGCCCGAGCGGAGCGCGGCGCAGCGCGGCGGTTGAGGAGGGGCGCGCTCAGGTGAGGGCCGGCCCGGACCGACCCGACCCACCGACCCGGCGCGGCTGCCTCTCTGCCCCTCTGCGGGCCGGGCTCGGGGCAGCCGCGGCGCTGTGGGTCGTGCCGGTGCTGCTGCCGCCGCCGCCTCCTCGCCCTCTCCCTGAGGGCGGGCCCGTGGCCGTGCGGGGTCTGCCGGGGCTCGGCAATGGGTGGGAGGGCAGCTCTGCTGAGGGATAACAGATGCCGGTTGTTCCAGCTTTGAGCGCTTGCGTTTCGTATCTAGTTAGTGGTTGTGATTCTTTAAAAACGAGGAATGAGCGTATTTCTCGTTCTGAGTCCAGTTCTCTCGAGCTGAACCTCATTCCTTATTTTAGAACGATAGAGCCTTTATTGGGGAGTTTCTCTTTCCTCCAGAAAGACTTTGTGATTATTCATAAGGCACAGCTGTGGTAAGAAGAGGAGAGAACTTAAAAAGGTTATGTTACAGCTGTATGGAAAGGATGGACTTTCCAGAAAACACATCATTCATAGCTTACATCCGTGTTTCTCTATTTACTGACTGACAAAGTTTGTATTTTACTAGTAATGTAACATAATTTCCTGTCTCAAACTGGATTGAGCAATAAATACACTGCTCTGAAATTTTAATATTTTCCTCACAAGTTGTGAGCTATGAAAACTGTATGGTCATGTTATGTGTAAATAGATGTAATAGCATACAGTCTCAGAAAGCTACTACTTAGAAGTGTAGCATTAAAGGAAACTTCTGTTGGAGCAGTGGCTAAATGATTTCTTCTACATCACTTGCTCTCATCTTGCTTTCCTTTTTTTCCCCCGACCGTGTTCTGCTGTTGTTAATGATATTGCAGGTTTGAAAGGATCAAAAGTAAGTGACTTCTTGTTAACTTGTAACCATTACTTAATTGCAGCTGTCAAGTCTGCAGTGGGTATTCATATCAGACCCATTACAACCCAATAACTGATGCAGATGCAACAGGGAAAACATACTTTCTTATACAGGTTATATATAGATAGCTTTCAAAATATTTACATGTAGAAAAGACAGGGAGTATATTTACAGTTTTCTTTTGTCCCCTAGGCCAGGTATCTTTTGTTTTGCTATGTGTCTATGTACCAGAGCGAACTAAAATAACATCCAAAGTTACTGCTAATAGTCATGTTTATTAGCTGTCCTGTTCTGAGACTGGGTGATATATTGACTATCAAAATCCTGGGAAAAGATCTTCCTTCCATGTTCATAGACTTCCTATTCAAGGTTAACTTGGCTGTTCTGCTGGAGTCTGATAGCTGTGAAATACAAAGAGTGTAAATAGATGTGAGTGAATGGAGACATGATCTGGAATGTCCTCAGCTTGGAAATCATGGTAGACCATTTGGAAGAAATATCCATAGTCATCTTTGTTGCAAAATAATTAGATTGTTCTTTTTACTAGCTATTGCTTCTTTGTGATGCTTGGTTTACTTTCTGAAACAAATCATAGAACTCAATGAATCAAGTAAAATAGCCTTTTGTTGGAAGCAGACATTCAGATAAAAAGGAATTATTTTTTTTAATACCAGAGGTGAAATAGGACAGTACTTGTTCTTAATGTTTGGGAAGATGTACTGCAGTATATGTAAGGATTTCCCCATGGAGCAAAACATAACTCACATTGCATATCAGTATCCTAAATTATTTGCTTTGTCTCCCCAGATTCCTCATGAAGCAGCCACTAGAAATAATCCTTTAGGAAAATGCTGTACTTGTTAACATTTGGATTTTAAGTAGCTGGAAGACAAGATGCCTATTTACACAATTCCTGCCAGGAGCCCTGCTGGGACACGATGCACAGCCACTTTGCAGAAGCCTTCCTCACACGATACCCTGGCCAGCAGTAAAGCACCTGGGCAGCAGCTGAGGTCACAGGTGTTGGGAGAAAAGGATGGTCTGCCTTCATGTCCTCAGAGTAAGACTGAGGAAGTAAATAGGACCTATGTGATTTCAGCTTGTGCAAAAGTCAGTGATGTGTCAACTTTTAAACTGGAAGGCAGATTGACACTCCAGAGGAGAACTGGAGCAAGCAAAAAATCAGTGTCTGGTAGTGACACAGCACAGAGTACAGAAGAGCTACAAACAGAGAAAAGACTTACTCTGCAGAGGCGTGTGAGGTCTGGCTCTACAGAGAAGAGTAAAATTAATCAGAATATTGTGCCTAGAAAAGGAAATGATGACTTTGATGCACAAGGAAATGACAAGATTGCACTTACACAGAGTATTAAGGGTACAGATGGTGTTAAACCAAACTTGAAGTTAACTGAGAGTCAGTCAAGTACCAAGTTGCAGCACAACCTGAACAGCAAAGATTCCTTTGGTTTAGTTGGTGGTGTCTGTGAAGATGCTATCGACAGGTGTTTAAAAGGTAAGACAAGCACTGCTAACACAAAGTTTCAAAATGAAGTTCCTAAATCAGAACGGCTTGTTACCTCAAAATGTGCTAATAGGCTGTCAGGAGAGCAACCGAATGAAAAAGACAATATGAATAAGCTATCTGGAAAGCAAAGGGCACAGCCCTTGATGATAAAACAGAGCAGCTGGGAAAGACCGAGGACACCAGCGAAAGTTTTAACAGAAAGATTTGCACTTACACCAAAGAACAGCACTTCTCAAGACCAACCATCCCTCAAGCCAGCCTCAAATGAACAAACACCTCATCTGCAAATTTTAGCCAAGAAACTCCCTAGTGTCTCCAGCTCTCTTCCTGTAAGTTCAAGTTCAGAAACAAAAGTGAACCCAAAAACTTTAGCTGAGAGCAGCAGTACTGGGGAAGATGTCTTCAAAGTGAAAAACAGCAAAGTGATTGTAGCTGTGCGGGTGCGGCCCTTCAGTAACAGGTTTGTATCCTGGATTTATTTCTGGTGCTAACAGTGTGTGTTGACTTCTATTTTGTTCTTGTTGAGTTATTTCATCTTCGATCCAACCAATAAGGATATAAGAAATACTTGGAAATTAGCTGATACTTCATGCAACACTGAGATAGATTTTTTTTAAGAAACTGAATTGACTTTATTGGTGTCTGCATCTGTTTTTTACATATTCATTAACAAAAGTGCTTTGAGCCTTAATACTTTGTATGTTCCTCAAATAGGTATTTTTTAGCAATGACCACTGATTTTTTTATTTTTCGTTAGGCAGTGAAATTACTAACTTAAAGCATGCAGCTTATATTTTTTTTATTTTCCCACCTTTTCCATTCAGAGAGAAAACTGAAAACTCATTCCCTGTGATCTCCATGAGTGGTTCAGAGACAATTGTACAAAATCCATCCACAAACCAAGTTTACAGCTTCAGTTATGATTTCTCCTTCTGGTCTTTTGACAAGGATCATCCTAATTTTGCAAGCCAAGCAATGATTTATAAAACTTTGGCACTGCCACTCCTTGAAAGAGCTTTTGAGGGATACAATGCTTGTCTTTTTGCTTATGGTCAGACTGGCTCTGGAAAATCATACACGTAAGTTGCTAATAATGTTGTCAAAATTCTGCCAATTGTTATTCAGTGTTAAATCACATAAGAATGGAATGGAATAGATTGGAAAAGAATGGAATAGATTTCAGAGTGAATGGATTGTGTTCAAATGTTATTGTGTATTTTAAAAATAATTAAATCAGTATTTATAGCAAGTTTTTACTTACAAGTGTTGTTTTTACCTTGGCCTAAGAGACAAACTCAGGATTGCAACTGTTATCCTATTTGTAGGTTTGTTGGGTTTGTGTTTGGAATTTTTTTTCTTTCACTTAAACAACAACTTACCTTCATCCCTTTGTGTTTTGCACAAGGCTGAAATTAGTATCAGGGTCCTCTGGTCAAGTGTACACAACAGATTTGTGCTGTGGTGTGCTGTGTGTCTCTAGACTGCAGGGAAATTAGTCCAGGGCACTGATGTGCTGCTGTGGCAGAACTCAACAGGAAAAAACTGCACCAGAGCTGGAGACAGGCTTAGGTTGCACTGGAAGGGTGCAGAGAATATAAAATACAGGCATTGTAAGATACTGAACATCTTTAGGTTTAGACTCTTCAGCTGCTGTAGAATCTTTGTTTTACTTGGATTTTCAACCTGTTTCTCAATGGCTCAAATAGAAAATACCTCTGGATATCACCTTGTCCAACTCCACACTTAGACAAGCACCAATTTAGATCAGGTTCATTTCTGTTGCTTATTGTTGTATAACTTAGAAGTGCATGGCATGACAACTGTAGAGCTGTACAGTTGACATTAAAACTGTCTATGGAGAGTTACAAAACTAAAGCACCCGGATTTTTGTGACTGCAGGATGATGGGATTTGATGAAGACCGAGGAATAATTCCGAGACTTTGTGAAGATCTTTTCAATCAAATAGCACAGATGGACAAGGAGCAGGTGATATGCTTAAGCCATTGACATTATATTGGACTATATTATAGTGGAAAGTGATACTTTAGTGCTGATCCCTTTATTAGTGTTCATATTCTTTTGCTGATTCAAAGTTTATTTGTATTGATAGCTCTGATTCATGGGGTTCCCTAAACAGTCAAAATCAACATTGTTTTGCTTCCTTAATGGCAGTAATGTGAGGAAGAAATATGAGCATGATATTTTTGTTGCATCACTAGACTAGGATTCTTTCCTCTATATTACATGTCTTACATTTTAAGATATATGTAAGAAAAGGCAAAACAAATCCCCAGTGGGCTCCATACTTTCAGTGAAGGCAGTAAAATAGAGCTCAAAAATATGAATTTATTGTTAAACATCATGTATCAAAGCAAAATACACTGTAATAGTATGCCACTTCTAGTATTCCAGCTCAGTATTCTAGCTGAAATAAAAAATAACTACCCTCACTTTCTTTCTATGTTTTCCTTTGTGATGTTTGTGTCTGTAATGACTGACTTGTGGTTCTCTAGACCTTAACATTCAGTTAATCTTGTGCAGGCAAACATTTCAATTTTTAACTATTCCAAATCTCTTTACTGCTTTTTATTTGAATTCAAGACTTTGAATCCTAATACCCATGACTGTCAAATATTCTAATCCTCCTGCAGATTTGATAGACACTGAAGAATTTAGAGAAAGTTATTTATCACTGAGTTTGGCTATAGAGTACAACTTCTAAAAAATGCAGAGCTTTTTGTTATTCCTTTGCTTTATGCATTGTAAGTGATTCTGTTGCAGTGAATTGTCTTGAGTCTTGTCATTCTGATTCCAGTGCCTTAGGGGCTTTGCTGCAATCTTCCTTTTCTCTTAAAAAAAAAATTCATTCTTCTTGAAAATAGAAAAAAGACCCAGACACCTTCAGATGGAAGATATGTGTTTCATGACAGTATTGTTGTGGAGTTTTTGCCTTTCTTAATTGCTATAGGTAGAATCAAGGTTTACCTTTGCATTAGGTCATTCTGCTCCATGTCAGGATTTTGACAACATCAATCCATGCCTTCCCTGTGACAAATATCTGTGCTGTGGAAGCACAGTCCCTAAGGGAAAGAGATGAGCGCAGGTGCAAACAAAACAATACTTTCATGTATCAAAAAACCACCGCTGAAACTTCTTAAGTAGATATATATACTTTTTTTTTAGTGCTTTTTAGCTTCCGTCTGGGAATGTCTATGGATGGAATTCCAATGAACTGTATTTTTCATCTTGGCAGAGGTGTTACAGTAGATTACTTTTAAAGGTCCCTTTCAACCCAAACTATTTCATGATATCATTTCTTAGAAAATCCCTTCAGGACAAATGTTTGTAACATTGCAAATCATGATCTGGCAGTCTAAGTTAATTTTCGAAACAAAGGATGGCGAGAATGTTTTATGGACTATATTAATAACTATTATTAATTTTATTAGGTTTTGTATCATCTTGAAATGAGCTTCTTTGAAGTATATAATGAGAAAATTCATGATTTGCTTGTCTTTAAAGCTGAAAATGGACAGAAGAAACAACAAGTAAGTTGCTCACAGAATCAAGTATCTGCATAACCTTTAAGGAGTGGCATTTATTCTGAAAAAAAAAATATACTAATGACAAGTGATCATTGTTTTTAATCTAAGTACATTAGTTGTGAACAATGGGATTCAAGTAAAAACCAAAAATATCACCACATGACTTAAAGAAAAATGCCTGTCACTGGACAAATGCTGAGCAATGCTGAAATAGAAACAAAAGTTAAAATCTGCCCTTATTTGCAAAATGAAGGTGATCTTATGAGCCTTTATAAAAAGTCTCTGAGGATATATCTAAATCTTCAGCTTATAATAAGAATCTTCTGTACAATATAACTTGAGTTATAGTCTTGTAATTTAGGTAGAGTTTTCTTTTTTTGTTGTTACCTGATTGTCCCTTAAGGAGCTGGAGGAGGGGGAAAGAAACAAGATTGGACTGATTAACTAGTCAAGTATCACTAGTTAAACCAGTTTAGCTAGTGTTTATTGGTTGTGTATTAGAATATGTAAAACTGTAAATTAAAGAAGTTTGTCTTAAGTAGTGTATGTAAGGAAGGAATTTATTATGTCTGATTTTTCAAAAAAGTACTTTCTGTGCTTTGACATTGAGCACTATCCTGGCCACTTGTGTGTAAATTAAATATTACTTTATGCAAAAGTTGCTATGCAACATCCAGCTTGCTGTTGAAGTTAAGTCCTTTAACCTAAGCTTAGGTGGATTTCTTATAAAGAAATTAAGACTCTGTCTTGTCTAAAGCAGGAGAGCTTTCACTCTGAGAGTTTTGTCAGTGATTTTGGGGTAAGCTACTTAGAAATATAATAGATTTATGTTATAGAATCTTTTTTAAAACATATTCCTGAGTACTAAGTCTAACTAATGCACTCCTAATAATTTTTATTTTGAAATTATTCTCATCAGCTTCGTGTAAGAGAACATCCAGTGTTGGGACCATATGTGGAAGGTCTGACAGTGTAAGTCTTAACTTTTTTGTTAACTGTTTGTTATCTCTACTTATTTTTACAGATGTATGGTGTAATCATGAAAAAGGAAATCTTGAGGCTCTATGAAAGCTTGCGTACTCACCAGTAAATTAAGCAAGATCCCAGTGTTACGTAGTTTTAGAAAAATGCATACCCATGACTAGCTTGATATATTTTCTTAATTGCCTTAGTGAAATCTAAAAGTGTGGAAGTCTCAAGACAACTGCAACTTTCATTAGGTATTTGTATTCTGTCTGTAACTGGGAAAATATTTCAGAATTCAGGGAAATCAATAGAAAACTGTCTGAACCCAAACTTTCTGATTTCCCCCCCCTCTAGGAATGTTGTCCGTTCTTACTCTGATATTCAGGTAAGAGTTTTTTGGTTACTAAAAGGGAATAGAAATATTTCTGCTTTCTCCTTTTCTGCTTACTGCTGAAAAATTAATTCCATGGATGGGAAGAAAATGTTGAACAGACTGTCCAGTAGTCTATGATATTTCAGCTGATTTTGTAAAAGGGTGATGTAGACTAGTTCTGTATAATGGAGCTGAGTAGATTTGTATAGTCAAGTGTCACTGTTCACATTGTTATTTCTAAAGTTTAACTTTTAAGTCCTCTCTTATAGTCATAATTTGTCTTAACTGTATTTGCAAACATTTAAATCTTCAGTAAACCATCCAAAGTAGGGTTTGGTTTCATATCCTGACTGTTGTGTTTTACAGAGTTGGCTTGAGCTAGGAAATAAGCAGAGAGCAACAGCTGCTACAGTAATGAATGACAAGAGCTCTAGATCTCATTCTGTCTTCACCCTTGTCATGACACAAACCAAGGTATTGCTGGAGCTTTTTTGTATCTGTTCAAATCTGGTAGTAAAAAATTCTTCTGTGTGCCGCCTAAAAAGTTGTGAGAATATACTTGAAGACCTTTGAGTAAAGCACAGGACATTTTAACATGGCTTTCCACACTGCAAAACTTGTTTTATTTTACATGCTTTGAGTAGATTCTGATGTCTTTGTGCTAAGTATATTTATAGCAGCAGTATAAATATGTCTAGGCTGACAGATCTAGGAGTAGTTCCAAGCTTCTCAGTGTGAATTTTGAGATGTAACAGGAGTCCTAATTGAGGCTAGATTGACTTTCACACTGCTGCCAACACATCTTAGCTTCTAGGAAGGTTAGGCCATGTGAGGTGTGTGGCTGAGCTGAGTTCCTGCAGGCAACAAATTGGGGCAGTGGTAGGAGACGCAATTTCTGCTCAGTTTCAACACACTCCACTGAATAAATGTTTTCTTGCTTCAGTATGCCTCTTCCCCAAGTGTCTCCAGGTTATAGGGACTACAACGCCTCATCTGATTTACAGATGCTTAAAAGACAAAACCTGACTTAGTGACGTGAGCCTGAAGACAGAAATGGAAGGGGTAGAGCTCTTCAGGAGTTTACAGGCTGTCCGTTTTCTCCATTGACAAATGACTTGTTGGTTCAGGGGTTTTGTTCTTGATTGGCTTAATTTTTTTTTCCCAGTTTCCTGGATTTTGTCCTTTCTTCTTCCCCTTGCCATTCTCACCACTAGATTATTAATTTTTCTTTATCATAGCTGGTCCCACTGACTCCTTAACTGATCTTCATTGGTCTAAGTCAGTAACAGCTTACTAATTTGCATGTTTATTGGATAACTGCAATTGGATTGACTGCAGTCATCAAACTTCAGACCAAAACCCCTAGTCTGGTAATCTGCTGGGTTTGCAGTTTATGCTTGTGCAGTTATTCAGCCACCACTAACTGATGCTATAAGTCTGACCTTAGTCTCCTTCAAGGGATATATACAAGAGTATCCTGTCAAAAATTAAATGGCAGCACAATATTTTTATTTATTTAATGTGAACAGCTTGTCTAATTTCTGCTCATCCTAAGGCTTTTTATCTTGATTTGAATGCCAGTATCTCCTTTTCTTTCCAGATAGAATTTGTGAATGAAGAACAGTGTGATCGTAGGCTCACCAGTTACATAAATCTAATTGATCTAGCTGGCAGTGAGTGCTGTACAAAGGCTCAGACCACTGGAGAAAGGCTGAAGGTAAATAAAGAGTGGAAATCTGTGGAAAGGGCTTGACTCCTAAGAACACCCTTAAACTCCAAAGCATGCTCACCTAACAGGATTTTTGGGCAGAACTGTAGCTATAAAAGGATGTATATAGCCCTTATGCTTATCAGTATTGCATCATATTTTGCCAGTGAGAGAGAGTGGAGGGCCTGAAGAAGCTGTTTTGACTATGCAATGTGGCAGATCTTGCTTAGAACACCTCTACTCATGCTATGTAGGTGTAATGATCCTGCAGAAGGAGTGAGGGGAGACTGTTTGTGTGACTTTGGAAATCATGAATCTAATATCAAATGGAGTTGAGGCTTGCCCCTTTTTGCAGCACCTAATTAAACAGATTTTTCTAATAAGAGACTTTATTTCAAGCTGCCTTCATAGGTTTGATGGTTCTTAACACTACTTATTTTAAAGGCAGGGTCTTTGTTCTTTTCAAATGAAGATGCTCTTCCATTATTTTTTTAATAACTGGGGACATTTAATGTGGTACAGCTGTAGCATACATTGAAGAAACATAATTGATCAACAGTGCAGTTGATAACATCACACAAGAAACTGCAACTATATTATAAATATTTTTGTTTTTCTTTGTGTAGGAAGGTGTGAGTATCAATAAATCACTGTTGACCCTTGGAAGGGTTATTTCTGCACTGTCTAAACAATCTCAAAATGGAAAGAAAACTTTCATTCCTTACCGGGAATCTGTCCTCACTTGGTACGTACATTGTATAGCGATCGGGGATTTCTGAGCTTGTGGTTTTCTCATCTATTCATAAGGCATCTTTTCCCATCCTTTTTCTTCCTCTCTCTCAAATGACCCGCAGAGGGAAGAAATTAGCCTGTTGTATCAGATAAGGACCAAACAGGAGCTTGGTTTGTGTTTTAAACAGCTAATAGTCCCTCTAAAATAAGTAGGAAATCCCTGGGTATTTTGTATTTAATCTGTCCCAATTGGGAAGTTTTGAATTTTTCTGTCAGTGTGAGGGCCAGGGATTGACTGGTATTCTCCTGTCCAATGAAGGCTCTTAAAGGAAAGTCTTGGTGGCAATTCCCAAACAACCATGATTGCCACAGTCAGCCCAGCTGCAAGCAGCACGGAGGAGACGCTCAGCACCCTTCGCTATGCAAAACAGGCTTGTTCAATTATCAACATTGCTAAAGTAAATGAAGACATGAATGTCAAACTAATCAGAGGTGAGCTTGACATCTGCAATCTTTCAGGGTTGTCATTTGCAGGTGTCTTTAGCTTATTTCTTATAAGAGTTGTTACTACTAATATTCTGTTGTGTTGAGTGACCTCTTGTCAACTAGACTAATACAGCTTGGGATGTCTTCCTTTTAATATTATTGTCCTTTGTGAGCTTTTTTATTTTCCAAATGCAAGTGATATCTTAGGCTATACTCGAACTGGAAATAGAGAAAGGTGTTTTGATTTTAAATAAATAACAGGAATAATTTTGTGCTATTGTACCGAAGTGTATTTTGCCTTCCTTTTTTATATGTACTGTATGTCTTGTTTGTCTCATGTAGAATTAAAAGCTGAAATTGAAAAACTGAGGGCAGCTCAGAAAAGTGCTCTGAACACTGACCGTGAAAAATACAGGCGTTATTTGCAAGAAATAACATCTCTGAGGGTAGAATTGCACCAGCAGGAGAGAAATATGGCAGAAATGCAAAGGTCAGGCACTCATTAATATCTTAATTTAAAATGGAAATGGTAAAATTTATATGCTGTAATTTTCTTCTAATAAGTTATGTTATTTTCTCCATATATTAAGGGCCTGGAAAGAAAAACTTGAACAAGCAGAAAAAAGGAAATTGGAAGATATAAAAGAATTGCAGGTACATTTTTTTTTCTATAGGACATAGTACAGAAAATATAACCTCAGCAAACCTTGCAGAAGAATGAGAGTAGCTGGTAGATTTGGTTTCCTTAATAACCCCCTTGCAATAGATTGCTGTGGCTTCTTAGAAAAATTTAATGCAGACATTTGAACGCATTGAGTAAATAGTTTTTTAATGCAGAGCTCTTTTTTTTATCTAGAAAGCTGGAATTGCATTCAAAATGGACAATAATTTACCAAACCTTGTCAATCTCAATGAAGATCCTCAGCTTTCTGAGGTGCTGTTATATATGATCAAAGAAGGAGAAACTACAGTTGGAAGGTGTACACCAAATTCGAAACATGATATCCAGCTTTCTGGCGTGCTGATTGCTGATGACCATTGGTTTGTAGTGTTCTTTTTATATTTTAAGTTTCTTCTTACCCTTCCCTTTCTTTTGGAGTCACTCTTCCTTCTGTCAGTAACAAAATATAGTCTTCTAGCCAAGTCAATACTATATAGCGATATTTTTTGTACTGCTCAATGATTAAGGCAACTGCCTTCTGTTCCCTCTAGAAATCTGTTAACTGAGGTAGTTCAGTTTCTTTGTTCATTACATTCATGTAGCACAGGTTTCTTCTGCAGCATTTCTACATGAATAAGACATGATCAAATTATGCTGTGTGATAGATAAATGTTACATTAAGTTCAGTGGAAAAGTGAAATGCCTTGACAGGTCTTAATTTAATAAAAATAGCAGCTTGTCTGTACTGCAGAAATATTGCTCAAAGTGCATTCCCTGCAACTGATCCCCAAAAAATGCTGTAAGAAATGTAACTAATAAATTACTAAAAACATGAAAGTACCATTATTAAAGAAATTCTCAGATGGCAGGGTATTGCAGTAATTTTCTAGCAGTGGATTCCTAGATACAAATATAGATTCTCTACCAAAATATAGATTGTCATTCATTAGTTATGTGTGTTGTACCTAAATAGTATGAAGACAGCACACACCTAGAAAAACAATAGCATCAGAAGCTTGCATTTTAGTCTATTAAGAAACATCACTTGCAATTATCATGAGCTACTAATACTACAAATGTTTCTTGTTTTCAGTGTTATTAAAAATACTGTTGGCAAAGTAAGTATTATTCCACTTAGAGAAGCCAAGACATATGTAAATGGGAAATGCATTTTGGACCCAACAATTCTGCATCATGTAAGTAATTGATCTGGTAATAGTAATTTGTGCATGTGTGGGTTTCTTTGCTTTGTTAATATCTCAGCTTTAGACTGCAGGTTTTCTGAGAATGCTCTGTAACCATAAATACTTGTCTCTTCCTCTTTGATTTCTAGCTTCATCTGCATGTTTTAAGAACTGAAAATTTGCTTATAAATCTGAAAATTTCAGCAGAATTTTTTTTCCCCAATAGGGTGATCGAGTGATTCTTGGGGGAGACCATTATTTCAGGTTTAATCATCCAGCAGAGGTTCAGAAAGTAAAAACACCTTCTTGTGGGACTTTGTCTTTGCATGATAGTCCAAAAGATTTTGAATTTGCAAAGAATGAGCTACTTATTGCACAGCGAGCACAGTAAGTATTGATTCTTCTTGTTCTGAAAATAAGCTCAGTTGTTAATTCAACCATGCAATTAGTTTTAGAAGTAACTGAAGATTATTTATTTCACAATGGGGAAAGTTGGAAAATAGCAATTCCATTAATAATGGAAGTCACAGACTTGGCTGAAATGACGTACAGCTCTAAGGTTCAATCACCACAAGCTGATCCAGATACCAACAATGTAGACCACTATTAGAGAAACACTGAGCTCCAGGGGTCCTCAGAGTAGTTTATCTCTTTAATTGTGTTTCTCTCCAAGTGTATGATGAGTCTGAAAATTACTTTCGATGTTTTAAAGAGATTTAAAATCTGAAAAGTAAATCATTAGGAAAATGAGAAGAACCCAAAGTAATAACCTTAGGTCTTCTGTGATGGAGTATTTGAGACACAGTAAAATGTTATTTGTACTTACTTCATTATGGGGTGTTATTAAACCACAAGACTCATTGATTTAAAATTTAAATTTGCATCTTAATGTGATTTAGTGAGTTTCCATCACAGTCTTTAAATTTGTGAAAATGATGAAATAAAATAAAAATGGAAATTGAGTGGATTTGAAATTCTGGAATGTGTTTCATATTTACATTGGAAGTGTCGACATTTTGTCTATGAAATCAAAACCATGTAAAGTATGTAAGTTTTTTTTAATTAAAAAAAAATAAACTCTCATGACAGAAAAAAGATTGTAATCTGTATGCATCTTATAAGAGACAAACAGCAGCAATCTAAATCTATGACACTTATAGGCTTGAGTCAGAAATTGAAGAGGCACGACTCAAAGCCAAGGAAGAAATGATGCAAAGTGTCCAAATAGCAAAAGAGATGGTTCAACAAGAACTGACCTCACAAAGAGAAGTGTATGAGAGCAAAATAAAATCCCTGGAAGAAGAGGTGGTAAGTTGTCATTACATCATTACATGAAATATATCAATAAAGTTAACCAGAAACTGTAGTATATGGTATTTCTTTTTTTGGTGCTTGGTTAGACTTAGTTTGTGTGGTATTGGTTTTCTTTTTCTCTTGCATATTATAGCAGCATGTTAGAGAATGCAAAGCCTCATTGTTAAAAAAAAAGTCAGCCTTAGGAACAGAAGAAGTAGTAAAGTAGTTATCCTCTTCAGAGTTATTCCAAGGATTGTAACTTGTAAGCAAAGCAAAATACCTACAGGATCTACCATATTGTATGAGGCTTTTAATTTACTATACTGAATTCATTAATACTCTTTCATTTTTTTCTTTCCAAGCTTGCATGCTTGCTTTGTAATTGTTTTTTTCAGTACAGTTGCAACATGCATAAGTTGACATAGAATAGTACATTGTGGTAAAAAAATAATGATGTATCTCATATCTTACATACTCTATAGAAGACCTGAAGTGATTCTTGTGAACTGGGATATAACCATTGCTGATGTTGGACTGTGTAGGTCAGAGGCTGCAAGTTTTACATGTATGGAATATCTGCCTGAAGGATGGGTCAGAAATGCTGTAGAAGGAGTATTCCTCCTCTCACTTTTCCATTTTGATATTAGAGAGAAGAATCTCGTAAGAAGCAAATCCAAGAACTGAATAACCAAAAAGCCACAACCAAAATACAGGAGCTGGAGAAGGCAAAGAAAAGCCTTGAGCTAGAACTCCACTTCAATAAGAAGCGTTTAGAAATGGAGACCTTAGCTACCAAGCAGGTAATAGGGAAAAAAAAAACCTTTTAAGGTAATAAACTCTGGTTTGGTTGGGGGGCTTTTTTAATTTGTTTTTTGAAAATCAATTATTGTAAAGGAGATGATTTAAAGTAGTTCTATGTGATTTTATGTAGAATAACTGATGTTTTGTTTGCAACCCGAGTATGTTAATGTATTAATGTTGGGGATTAACTAATGCTGGCCTTATTTCTTAAATAATGTGGATGGTTTTGTTCCTGCACCAAAATTTAGCAACTGTTGCCTTTGGCAGAAGTTATTAATCCAGACATGAATGTAAGTAATGACTAAGTTTTGGCTGGTGTTCATATATATCTGACTGCTGCAACAAATACAGCTTTTAAAAAAAGCTGTTCCTTTTTAATTCCAGTATTTTTTTTGAGCATTGCAATATGTAAGCAAACCCAGAGACATGTCAGTTTGAAAATTAATTATTTTATATTAGCATAGCAGATGTCCAGTATAAAATTAATTTTGTGAGTCTTTAAAATGGCAGGAACAAAAAATTTAGCTTCAACAAACAGCATTAAGAGTTTTAGATTTTTTTTTTTTTTCCCACTGCCTATTTTCACCCAGGCTCTAGAAGACCATACTATTCATCATGCAAAGATAGTGGAAGCTCTGGAAGCTGAGAAGCAGAAGATTGCTGAGGAAATACACGCCCTTCAGAAGAATCCTGGGAGTGGGAATAAACCAGTGATGAGTATGTATATGCGTAATGTTACAAAGGCAATGCTGGCTTCTCTTTTTCTCAGTGGACATGGGTGATGGGTATTGATACAGGAACTTCTTCTGTTCCACTAATACTTCTCTAGTGATCCTGAACAAGAAGAGCCTTCTAGTTATTACAGTCCTTTCTATTCATCAGCTGTATGTATTGGACTGTGTTAAAAGCTCTGGGTGGTTAGGTGGCCATACCTGGAGTTACTGAAAAGTCCTTCCCTGTCTCCACTGGTCAGGCATTAACTCATTGGGTAAATGAGTAACAGAATTCATTTTCTTCAGTTTCTTATCTTGGATTAATAATAATAATATAGTATCTAGTCTTATTCCTTTGTTTCTGAAATACCTTTTACCCAACCATTTAAATGGGTTATCTTGCCTGGAAGGGTAATGCTTTCCCAATGTGTTGGGAATTCTTGGAACTACTGGTGGCTAAATTACTTTTTTGCTTTTGGGTTGTGGTTTCTTTTCTGCCCTTTATTTTTTTTAACCCTAAAGTTGTTGCATCACATAGTTTGGTTCACTAAATCAGTATGTTCTATATTCTTTATTAGCTCCACTGAACTGGAAGTCTCTGAAGCTGTCTGTGATGATTAAAGAGGCTAATGCCATTAGCAATGCATTAGGGAAAAACACTGTTTTCTGCAGGTCAGTATCTGAGTTACCTAATTATTATGTGTATATGTAATAATTATATAATTGTGTATATATCTGGGGGTGGATTCAGGATATGCAGTGAGCGTTGATGTTTCTTTTAACAGTCTTGTGCAATTGAACATGATAAATTTATTTTCCAAACTATTGTTAGTTAAGTGTGTAGCTGAGCCTTGGTATTTTGAAATGGGAATTTCTAATTTGAATTTTAGATCAAAACTTTAAAGATATGGTATAGACAGCTAATTCTGAATTTAGTGTACTTTGGAGGTGAATCTTCTGATGCCCATGTCCATCTTACTTTGGTTCATGGACTGAAGTGGTCCTAAAGCGCAGTAACTGAGATGCATGGTGTCTGAAGAAATTTTTGTGTGTGTCATGTTTTTAGTCTCTGTATAATCCTTGATTATACAAGTATCTTGTTTAATTTTACAATATTAATGTGGGTTTTTTTGTCTTGATTTTTGGTTTTGGTTTTTTTTTAACTTTCTCCAATTCTTAGGCATGACAGAATTGATGATAAAACAGGAACAGTGTCTTCTATTCAGGTGCAGGTTCGTAACATCAAACTGGGAATAACAACTTTTTGGAGCCTAGAGAAATTTGAATGTAAACTAGCAGCAATGAAAGAATTCTATGAGGTCAGTAACAATTAAAGAAGAACCACTAGTAATCAGTAATATTTTATCAAAGATAAGGTTTTGATAATGCATAGAGGAGGAAAATCTTGGTGATTTTTTGAGTTGTATATATTAAATAGCAAGACATGTGACTACTTTTCACTAAAAAGATGTCAGATGCATTTGTCCACCAAGCAAAAAGAATACAATAGAAATAAATTACTTTATTCAGGTCATTTTGTGTAGAGAGTAAGAAGCAGTAAAGCAAGGACTGCTTTTTTATTCTTTTGGTTGTTGAATTTCTAAAGGTATCACTTGAGTTTTCATTATTATGTTCTATATACCCATATGTTGAATACTTTTCCACTTTTTTCTGTTTAACTCTCCTGCTCCCCTGTGTTTATTTTTTCAGAGTAATGATAGAAATAAAGCTGTTGTTGATGTGTTTTATGACCCTGCTGATGAATGGGAACCTGACCTTTCAGACACCTCCATTTCCTTGCTTTCCAGAAGAAGGTAAAAGTTATTTGTAGCTACTCTCCTACACTTAAAACAAAGCAAAAAATTGTGTAGCTATCTAAATATACTTGTGCTCCACTCTCATACACCGTGTCATCTGGTGAGTCTTCTCTTGTATTCATTCATTCTCTTGGATTTCCTCCATGGACAAAAGAAAGGAGCAGAAGTTGTATGTAGAGCTTTCCAAAGCATCAGTGCAGCATGAAATGTGTAGTTTTTAATGTTTCCTTCCCACTTCTAAACTATCAAAGCATTGTTTTTAAGGACTACATTGCATATGGTCTGGGACCTTGCATTTGAATTTTAGCCTTATAACAATATTTATAACTGACTCACATTTGTGCAAGCTGTAGCTCATCATGGAAATGCTTGACAAGGAGAAATGGTTTTGTTTCAAGGTTTTTCATGTTCTTTTGTCATCCTTTCTTAGAAGTAGAAGCTTCATGAAGAACAAGAGAATTTCTGGATGTTTATCTGAGATAAAATTGCAATCTATTCAGAATAAACAGACTTCCTATATATCAGGTACTTGCTAAATGGCAGAACACCTTTAATTTCATACTGAGAATTTGAACCTACTACATGCATAAAATGCAGGTGCTTCTGATGGTTGTTTGAAAACTGTGGGTTGGAAAAATAATATTAAAATGTCCTGTTTAGATGCTTTCATATTTATAATGTCAAACTCTTAACATAGAGGTTTCTGTATTTTTAATTATCCTTTCTTAGGGCAAAAACTTCCTGACGAGCTCTTTATGAGCCTAATTTAAGAAATTATTCTAAAACATTACTATGCTTAACTATGTGGGTTAACTGGAGAAAGAGGCTGAATCCTGATACAGTAATATAGAGACTTGATTTGCTTGACTTGTTGCTATTCATTCAGTTACTGAGGTTTCCCCAAGATTTGGCTAGGTTTTACAACCTTTTTTTTCCTGAAGTATAGGATGCTTTAGTCTTCCAAATATTTGAATGCATTCAGTTATTTTAGATTGGTTGGATTTTATTTTTTTATTTCTCTATAGCTTTGATTGTTGAAAAAAATGTATTCATGTTGAAGAACTTCACAATGGAATTTTTCTTTGTACTAACAGAACTTCTAAACTATTTAGAACATTTTACACATTTTGTCTGAATGACTGCCTTGAGTAGGTGAATGTCTATATAAAAGCCATTACAAAGACACATGGACTGCTCACTCCTATGAAGAGTTTCATGCATGCATGTTTTGCTTTTACCTTGTACAGGTTCACTGAACAAGTCCAGCATATGCTCAAGCATTTCTGAATTGTTTCTTCCTGGAATTTGCAAGGAATCCATAAGTTCAGCTTTAGATTTGCTGGAACAGAATCACGAAGGAGGAAAAAGCATAGCAGATAGTCTCCTAACTAATTTGTTTATAGTTTTTTCTGGAGCATCTGCCATTTCCAAAGCCTATGAACAGCAAGATGAAGAATGTCAGGAAAACTGTAAGTCTCATTTTCAGAGTGGCTTAAACATTTCTAATGACTTGTCTTTCAGATGCATGAGCATTTGTTTGTCAGTCACAAGAATTAATGTTCATGTGTTCATTTGCAAAGGAGATGGATCTGATAGATCTCTTTCTCTTGTAGTTTTCTCTCTTGATCGTGCTGCTCAGTCCTACAGCATCAGAATTGTCTCTGCTTTTGACCAGATTGTGGTTATAAGTAAACTGTGGTTTAATAATGTCCAAAAGTGTCCTGGATCTAGAAAAGCTGATGAAGAAATGAAACAGGAAATAAAGAACTTGGGAGGTTATTTACAGTTGCTGTTACAGGTAAAGCATATTAAAGAATTCATCTGTGTATAGAAAACTTCTCTGCATTAATTTGTTATAGACTTGCTAAAAGCACTTAAATGTCCAGTTGTGTAATGACAAAATAGTGCAGTTAAGGAAGATAAATAGACAAAGTTGCATTTTTTTCTGGCTAAGCTGGTAGGTCCATGTGCTAGTGGAGGATAATGCAGGCTTTCCTGTGCCCAGGCCCTGACAGAAGCATTGATTCCTACTCATAAAATTAAACATGCAATAACAGCAAATGATAGTTTAGGCCATGAAGTGCTGCTGTTTATAAACTCATAAACTAGTGGCCAGTGGACATTATTTTTATGCACACTACAGCCTTGTGAATAGTTTGTTTTCTTTTAAATCTATGTAGTATAATAGTATGGTTGATCAGTGGTTGCAAGGCATGATTTTTTAGCTGTGATAGATAAGCTATTGGAAGTAGGAAGATGTAAAACTGAAAATGCATGAGTATTGTGTGCTAGGAACTCTTGCTGTATAGAAAGTGTGTATTCTTTGCATTTGCACCAGAGGTGCTTTCTGGCATCAGTGAAAGATGTGCCTTTCTTTCCCAGGGGTGTTCTTCAGATATATCCTCAATGGTAACGGAAGCATGGAACAAAGTAAACCAAACAGTGAAACAAACAATGAAATACATAGGACACTTGGCAGTAGTCACAACAACTGATATTTCATTTCCTGAAGAGAGCAACATTCCTGCCTCTAGTTTACAGGTGAAGAAATGTTTCTTAGAAATACTAATTATGAATAGTAATTCTAGTGTTGAGTTCACATTTACTATCAGTAACTGTACTCAGCAAATTGTTCCATATGCCAACTTTATCAACTGAATTAAGTATATTTAGAGTTTATCAAATACTTAAAATTTAGGGTTAAAATGGATGTATTAATACCCTTGACGTTTTTTCTTTAAAAACCACAACTTTTAAATTGGTGTAAGTTAAACCTATGAAGAGAAAGAAGTGTACGGTGCTTTTAGGACTGTACCTGCACTGAGATGATACAAGTCTATCTGTTTGACTGAAACTCACTACTTAATTTTAGTAATCTGTGTCTAAGTACATTGAGTGTACAAAAATCTGACCTGAGCTCCCGTGGTCCAAGGAAGATATGTGTCTGAGTAGACCTGCAATTTGCTGTAAATAAAATTATTTCTAGTCTACTGTAGAAAATTTGTTTTAATTCAAGACCACATCAGTTTCTTTAACCATTTTGAACCTTTATTTTAAAAGGAATTTGTACTTGCCATTTATGATGGAATAGGCTCAGGACTGGAGTGTCTCATTGATGCTGTACAGGAGAAAGCAAGAATAGTGCAGAAAGAACTTGTGAAACAGTGTGCACAAAATGAGGTGAGATGAAATGAAGATTGAAAACTGCTACTATATCTTGGAGGAACTTGATATGTTTTCTTTCTTGTGCTTGTATTTTAAATTGTGAAGATGATACTGTAGGGAGTTACAGAAGTAGAGAATAAAGTATAAGGAATAAATCATGAAGATGATACTGTAGGGAGTTACACAAAGTAGGGAATAAAGTATAAGGAATAAGCACCATGGTTAAAAATATTTCTGCAGCTGTTTGAAAATTCCAGTAGGGAAGTTAAGGTACCCCTTGGAAGCACACCACTTTTTTAGTGGGTAAGCCCTTTTGACAAAGAGCCTGGCTGAATTCCAAAAAAATACTTGGGAAAGATTGAAATCTTCTCAGTGATAAATAGTTCCTCTCAAGGAAAGCAAAAATTTCTTCCTACTCTAGTATTTGCTGTTTTCATCCTTAATCCTACAGATAGTAGTGAAACCATCGAAATTACTTTATTTGAATGTCTTTTGCTTAACTCCCAGATGCTTTGGGATTCCAGCAAATAGAACAGAGCACTCTGCTTTCCAAATAATGCTGTTCACTTGCAGCTAATTCTGAAGTATCTGCTGTACATGCTTGTCTCTGGTGCAACTACTGTAAGGATGGAAAGAAAAGGCCAGAGCTACCCTTGCCATTTAGAATGACATATCTACAAACTTATTCAAAGTTACAGGACAACCTTTAGTGAATATTTAAATGTGTTCATTTGATCCTCCCCTAGGAAGGGGTTTAAAACCTTGGAGATGTAATTAATGTCTTCTACCAGTTAATGTTTTCTTTGAAAAATTGCATGTTTAGTTGCAGAAAATGCTATTTCTTTTGGGTATTTCGCTCTTTAGTATGTCAGTGTTTGTTCTTTTTATTTAATGTACCTTGACTTGAATAAAGTGTACAATATAATTCAAAGTTTCTTTGTAGATTCAAACTCGAATAAAGGATAACGTGGTGGCATTAGCCAGATTGCTTGAAAATAACATGTCTGACTGCAGAAAGGTAAGAGAAATGTTTCCCAAAATATGTGCTTTGAGTCTGGTATTTAAATTTTAAGGATGCATTTATCTAAGAAGAGGAATGTGTGTGTATATATATTTATACACACACAACCTGTATATTTATGGTTGCATGATGACACTTCTTGTCACAGCAACATTCCTGTGACTGGAAAGCTAACTGTCCTTGCTACTGCATTTCCACTCAAAGCTCTATTATTTTAATTTTATTTAAGATAAAGAGCACTTTTTGTGCTCATCTTGAACAGTCTAACTACCTGTTGTAATTTTTTTTTAAGTTGAAAGATCGGCTTACTAGTGTAATTGTTTTATAACTGCTGCCATAATTTATGACCATTAGTTACTGGTATTTTGAATTAAAAGCTAGAATAGGTGACTTATCTTCTAAGAGCCAAGCAGTTCCTGTATTTTCATCTCATTTGCATTTTTTCTTCTTTTGCTAAACCTGTCAACCACGTGGAGTTGTGCATTCTTTTCAGTGCTGTCTTATATGACATGACATTGATTTGATTTTGTGTTTCAGCATTGGCTTGATCTGTGTGACTGAAACCATAATAGGCATGTTTAGCAGTTAATACACTGTGATGTATTTGATTCTCTTTAAATTGCTCTCTATTAATACAGGTAGAAACAGAATCTCAGCTGCCAGAAGAAGAGTCTCTGTATCGAGAAATAAAGAAAAGCACTAAGATTGCTGTGAAGTATTTGGAACTGGAGCAGTGCCTGACTGAAGTCTATCAAATTGTCTCTTCCATGTTACAAGGTATTAGCTGAGTTACCACCTGTAACCTACAGGCTACAGGAGACTTGCAAAGCAAGGGAGAGGGCTCTTTGGTACCTGCAAAATGCTGCATTTGATTATTTTTGTTTCTGTTTCTCATAGGGTTATACAGAAACACCAGCCCTCTCAGGAGCTTTGCAGAAAATATTTCTGTCATTGCTGGATATTTTAACAACTATTTCAGTTTATTTGCCTCGTCTTCTGTGAACAACGCAATCCAGAAAATGAATGTGCCTTTTATGAACCTGGATGAATTGGACTCTCTGGTTGATGCCCTTATTATGAATTTTGAACATGAACAAGGACAGCCATCACTGCCATCTCAAATTATTTGTAATGAAACTGCTGAGACTCGAGGAGGACAGGTTGAAACAGGTCAGGTTGAATTTGCTTGGAAATGGAATGGGATTCCAGAATGCACACAGACTCCAGAGCTTTCACCTGGTAGGATAGAATGGGTATAAAATGTTATTATCAAGAAATTAAAGAGAACTCTTTCCTATTGCAACATATCAAAAAAAGCTAAAATGTATTGCTAATATTATTAGTGAGTGGTGTGAAAATAAAATGCCACGTTTGTGCAAGTACCCTATATTTCACCAAAGAAAAAACTACATTCCTTAAGAGACTGTCAAACTACAAAATGGAATTCCTTTTGTTTTAATAGAAGTCTATTACTACCTAAGTTTATAAAAAATAATTTGATTTTTTTGAATTTTTGCTTCACCTCAGGTGCATTATAATCTAGTAGTGCTACTGCAACTTGAAAATGTTTTTTATGCCTTTTTTAAACAGAGCAAAAACTTTGTATTTATTTGTAGAGGAAAACAACAGAGCTAGTAAAAGTACTTTACAACCTCATTCGATGGAAGTTTTTTAAAGTGGGTTTTAGTGCATTGAAGAATCTGGGCTGAAAGTATCAATGATGATGTTCAAAGTGACCTGAAGTAAGTTATGTTGGGTTTGTTGCTAGTGAGCTATCTTCTGATTGCTGAAATAATTTTCTCTGCTATTCATATCAGAATAGAAGCATATCTGTTCCTAAATAACATAAATTATCCCAGGTTGTAGAGAGCTTCCCAATCCACTACTTCCTTGTGCTTATCATTGTTTAACATCTTACTTTTGGTCTTATGGCTGAAGTTAACAGGAAGAATGGAAATTAATTTGCATGGGTTTTAGAAGGCCTGGTCTGAGCACAATTTACTCACAACAGTGCTGAGAAATTAATAAGGTAAAACGTAAGGTTTTTTCCTTATACATCAATGTGTCAGTCATGATTTAAGCCCAGCTGGAAACTAGGCACCACAAAGCCACTCCCTTACTCCCTCATCAGTGGGGGAGAATCAGAAGGGTAAAAGTGAGAAAATTCCTGGCTTGAATATAGACAGTTAAGTAGGGAAAGCAAAAGATGCACACACAAGCAAAGCAAAACAAAGAATTAATTCACTGCTTCCCATGGTCTTCCCCATGGGCTGCAAGGGAATCTCTGGTCCCATGCCTGGAGCATCTCCCCTGCTTCATCATGGGGTTGTGGGTCCTTCCCATAGACTGCAGTTCCTCACTAACTGCACCTTCCACAGGGTGCAGTCCTTCAGGAGCAGCCAGCTCCAGTTTGGGTCGCCCATGGAGTTACAAGTCCTGCCAACAAACCTGTTCCAGCATGGTCTTCTTTCTCCATGTCTCCGCTGCCAGGAGTCTATGGCATCATTGGCTTGCCCTGGCTTTCCCTCCATCAGGCTCACCTGTGCCAGTGTGGGCTCCTTCATGGGCTGCATGTGGATCTCTGCTTCCACATGGACCCATCCACAGGTCCCAGTCTCTCTGACTTGTGTTCACACTGGAGGGAGTTCCAGTGTGTCCAGTACAGCAGCACAGAAACAGCAGCGATGCTCTGGCCATGTGCCAGTCCCTGTGCATCACCATTGCTGTCCTCAAAATGTCCCCAGGCACAGCAGAGTGAGGGGATCAGCAGCACAACAGTGGGGAAAGCAAAAAGCAGCCACAGATGAGCACTGCACTAATGTACTGTAAGGCATCAAGCCCAGGGCAAGCACAGGAGTCTGCCCAAAGCAGCCAAAGAGCAATAAATTCCATCTAACCCATTCCAATCAAAGCTGTTATCCTGAACTTTCTGAGCCCAGTGTTGGGCATCAAAATGAACTCTTGTGGTTTAGCCCCAGCTGCATACTCACTGCCTCCCAGTGGGACTGAGGGAGAATTAAAAGAGTAAAAGTGGGAAAAATCAGAGGCTGAGATAAAGACAGTTTATTAGGAAAACCAAAAAATTGTTTAGCTTGGCTTGCATGCAACAAGAAATCAATTCACTTCCTGTGGCCAGGCAGGTGTTCAGCCATCCCTGGGAAAGCAGGGCACCATCATATGTAATGGTTACTTGGGAAGACAAATGCCATCACTCTGAATGTTCCCTCATTTCTTCCCCTCTGTATACTGAACTTGATGTCACATGGTCTGGAATATTGCAGCTGTGTCCTCCCCACTTCCCAAGCACCTCCAGCTTCTTCATCAGCATGCAGTGCAAGAAGCAGAAAAGGCCTTGGCTTTTTCAACTTCTGCTCAGCAATAATAATAAAAAAACCCCTCTATTTTATCATTGTGTTCAGCACAAATCCAAATAATTGTTGTATACAAGCCACCTTGAAAAAAATTATTCCCACTTAAGCCAAAACCAGCACAGCTTCCATGGTGGATATTCATGGCTGTAATCTCTCCTTCTTAGGGAAGATGTTCAACATCTTGAGAATTTCAGTCTTTGAAGACATGTAAGGCTCTTGGAACTCATTTATGTGAACAGACTGCAGTGGAATTAATCATAATTTCCTTTTGAAATTTTTAGTTATAATTGATACTGTTATTCAGTGGTTTTGTGCTTTTCTGATGCAGAGGAAATGGGGAAGGCAATTATGTTGCTCCAGTAACCCACATATGTATTTTCTGAAGAGTAGTGCACTGTAGTACTTTCCCAAAAAGTGTTTAGCAGTGCAGACCTGCCACCAAAAACACACAGCACTTTTTTTGCAGCGAATTTCCCTCTCACATAAGGTGTGATGTTTAATTGCTTTCTTACTGTAAAGGCCTTTGCAAGTTTGCTCAAGGGTAAAGAAAGTCTAATCAGCTGTTCAGCTTTTTATACTTTAAAAATGAAGAGAAGCCTGATATATTTCTACTTGTGTAAATGTGTTATTTTGTATTTGCCTGAAGTTTTTAAAATGTAGCTGTTCTTCTGTGTTGTGTATCTAAGCATGGGAAATGTAAAGAGTAAAACTACATCATGTACCTGCTCACTGATTTTTGCAACTCAAAGTGTAAATTCTTTGTTAATTTCTTCAGTTGACTTTGAGATCTTCCTTTGTCACTGAGAGTATTGCTTTCTTGCTCAGAAATATTGTAGTGTCAAAATATGAAACGTTAATAAGAGGTGTTTTCTGTAGTTCACAAGAGGAACAAACCAGAAAATTTCTTTACCTACCTAAAATTTCTTTCCTCTACCAAGACACACAAACTTCCCTCAACTAACAGCACACATCTATACACTGAGTGCTCATGAACTAATCTATGTCTATTGATGTCGGAACAGTCAATTCCTTTCAATATCTGCTAGTGAAGATTATGGTGTTATGTCAAGTTTTCATTGCAAAATTACATTCGGGTGTTAGTGATATTCCACCTGCTCACATGTTTAATCATGTTAGCTTTTGTTCTTGTATTTAATAATAAGCATTGCTCAGAAAACATATTGAGATTTGTAGCTCTGTATTGTTATGAGAGTTTTTTTTCCCTTTCTGTAATTGAAAATGAAGTTTTCCCACAAACTTAAAGCTCAAAATTACTTTGAATTTTTAGCATTTTGGAAACTCGGGAAGTGACCATGTAAACTAATGGGTTTTTGATAGACTTTTAACTGAGGTATTGGAAAGCCATGTTCATAATGAAATTTAGCTTTTGCAGAGTAAGTGCAAATGTGCCAATAACTCCCTTCTGCTCAGTTGGGGTTTGTTGTTTTGGGGTTTTTTTGTTGTTTTTTTGTTTGCTTTTTCTTCATCTCTGTGCTAACCAACTGTGTCTAATCAGTCCCTCTCTTACTTCCATTGTTAATGCATTCTTTTAGAGTAAGATGTTGACAGAACCTACTTCTGCTAGTGCTTTCTTCAGCTTGGTGCCCTTGTTGCAGTTATACATCACTGAGGTGCCTCATTCTCACGATCCATAGAGTGCCCATAGATCAGCAGCGAGCCAGAGCTCTCACACCGTGCTGCATTAACACATCAACACGCCTAGCTGAGGCCCCAGCCTTCTATGGATGTAACATACCATAAGGTGAGGTGTATTTATAACTATAGGCTAGTGTATCTAGAAATTATCAATACCAAGGAACTGGCATCACAACCAATATTTATTAAAACAACTTTTGCTAATGGTTATTAATGGAATTAAGATGTTTACTTCCACTTACTCCTTCACACTTGCACCCACACACAAAAATCACTCATGGTTACAAGGCTGGAGCAACAACTGTGAGCTCCTGACTCTGAGGTGGAGGCTCAGACTGGCTTTGATGAGACTTTGATGTGCCGGGCACCTCAGCATGTACACTGCCTCTTTTTGGCTGCTGTTTTCTAGCTACTGTTTCTTCATCCACAGGCGCCTGTAGAACCATTCACACACACTTATACAGACAGAACTTTTGTGGTTCAGGCTGAAACTTACTCAGTAGCTGAAGTCATGCTACTGCTGAAAGCACTAAATTTGGTCTCCAAAGGCTTTGGGGTACTTAAATCTACAGCCTTCAGCACCATGACACTGAGAGAAACTGAGTGAACAGTCAGGAACATGTGGGAGGAGTGGGAAGTGCTATGAAGAAATGTTTAGACACCTGACTGAGATGTATTGTTTTCTGCAGTTGTGATGAATTTACTTTGTTATATGAATTGATGTAATCTGTGATTTGTGGGTTGGTGTGGGGATTTTGTTGGGGTTGCTTTTTTTTTTTGTTTGTTTGTTTGTTTTTGGTGGGTTTTTTTTGTTTTGTTTTGTTTTTCTTCTCTTTTTCCTCCAGGAAATTATTCTTCAGTCAGCTTTCAGGTAAAAAGTAATTAGAACTATAGGTACTTGACAAGGGTTTAATGACTGACATAAAAGGAGGAGGGGCTTTGTTTTAATTTAAATGTAAAGTGGGGAGACAGGATACTCAGACTGCTGTACCCTAGTTTAATTTGAAAATGTGAAACTAAGAAAAATCTAACCAATTAAATACATTCTCTTTACAATAGAAATCACTTTAAGAAATTAATAAGAAATAGTTATTAATTTCCATACTTTATTTTAAAAACAGTACTATTTAATAAAAAGGCATAATGGTTCTGAGAGTACCAGTTAGCCTATCTTTATTGAGACATGTTGTGTGTAAATGAGGTTTTAGAAGAAAGTGTGGTCTAGCTATGCTTTTTAAAGAATGTGTATTAGTGTATTAGTCTTAGAAATTAAGGATAAATAAAATCTTCTGGTACTTGCTTGAAAATTCTAGATGAAGGAAAACAGCAAGCTGCAGTTTAGATTTAATTTGATCCAGTAATGGCATCTGCAGGCAGAAGAGGAGACTACATCTGATTTACCTCTGCAAATACAACCTGTTATTTTTGGATAGGAAATTTTTTCTCATTCTTCATTTAAGTGAAAATACTGTGATTTGATGAGTCCTGTCACTTTTGTATGTTTTGCAGCTCTTATGATTTCAAGGTAGGTTTTTGCTTTGTTAAGTTTTGGGGGTTTTTTATATTATTATTTTAGGACAGTACTTTAATTCCCTTCCTAGCTTTTGGTAGGATCTGAGAGGGTTTATGCCTTTTCCCAAGAAAGAACTACGCTTTTTTTTTTTTTTAAGTCTTGATTTTTAATTTTTCTTTATTTAAAAAAATTAATATAAACCCAAATTGCTGACTTTTCTTTGTTTTATGCTCTTTTTATGACCTGGAATTGGTACAGGTAACAAGATTTTTTTTTTTCTTGAATTTTTTCCTAGCCCATTTTTGTTTGTTTGTTCTCGTTGTCTTAGTATGTTTATGTTCATGAGTAGCATTGGCTTCTAGGACAGGAAACAGTTTATGTAATCTAATCAATATTCATATGATTTGGTTATTACAGTGAAAACAGAACAAACCAGAGATCTTCTGAGCTAATGCTTCATCAACAGCAAGCACCACAAACAACATAAAAAACTATTCCTTCAGGTATCTTTCAAAATGAGCTAGAGTGGCTCACCTCTGTCCTTGTGGGATTGTGTTCTGGGGCACCTAGCCAGGAAGATGATGCTGATGAAATACCCCCATAGCAACTGGGGAAAGTCTCACTGCCAGGGCTGACTGTGTAACTCTATCCAAAACCATTTCTCATTTATTAACACTTTATAATTCTCTTAGCAGTTTTCATTCTCCTGCTTGCCATCACCATCCCTGAACAGCATTCTCAGAAAAACACGGATGGTAGCGAAAACGTGTGCACTTTTATAGCTGTGGATTTTGTCCTTTTAGTTTAGAAAAGTCCCGCCGCCCATGACTTTCGTGTTTCCCGGGCAGGATGGTGTTTGCTGCGGAGTTTTCCCTGCCCGGCTCGGGAGCCTGGAGGAGCGCCGGGGATGGAGCTGCGGTGCTCCCGCGCGGCCGCTGGATGGCGCTGCTGCCCAAGGCGAGGAACACTCCGCTTCGGAGCGCTCCCGGGAACAACTCCCTGCTGCGTAACCCCTTCATTGACTGTGTCACAGCTTAAAGCATCGCTGCAATGTATGCACAAACATATCTCTTGTCTCACGCTTATTTTTCGCGTTGTTAGTTTAAATTGTAATTTTCTTAAAAGTTCTTATTAAGAAAAAGAAGCATCTAATTTTGCTTGTGCGTAATACAGTACAATAATAATTTTTATCAAAATCTGGAGTAAATGTCAAAAACAGCGTGCCTAACTATAAGCAATCTTAAGGAATAGCTTTTTCTGTCATGTTCACATGAACAGCATAGAAAAATAAAAAGCTCAGGTTTAATAATGGGATATGTAAAGCTAGGAGAAATTATGGCTAGTAAAGCAAATTTTATGCCAGTGTGACTTCATTCTGAAGCCACTTCTAATTACCAAGATGCCTATAAATAAACTAATGTTTGTCTGCACAGGGCCTTGGGTCATTCCTTTATTCCCCCTTGTGTCTTCTACAAGTCACATATGGGTTGAGAATGAAATTCAAAAGGGAACTCTGAAATTCTGATTTTGGAAATTCTGACTTGGAATTTCCTATTGTAACTGGTAGGTAAGAAATATCTTAAGATCTTTTTGGTTTTAAAAGGTAAAGTTGGTAAATAGAATTGTTGTAAATGTGTTCAAATTGTAAAACAAAGGTTTCTTAACGTTTATGTTAGCATTGAGTATGAGACATGTTATTGGGAAAACCTCTTAATGTCTGCAGAGACACTCAATACTTAAGAATTATTTATTTAGTAACTCTTCTGTCCCCTGTTTAAAATAATCCCCAGTGCTTGTTAGCATGTCTTACATCATAATTTCAGACTGTATCCAAAAGTCTAAGAAGATCTAAGATAAACTATACTTGTCTTTCCTCTAGACCTGACTATGCTTCATGTGAGAGTGAGGTTGTAAATCAGATGGAGAGGAGGAATTTTTTTTTTTAAGTCTTTGTTTAATGAGCAATCCACATATATGTGCAATCTCACCTTTTCAATAAGAACATAAAAATTGGTATGAGGCAATCCAACCTGGCAATTATTGTACTTAAAAAACTTAGACCACAGGTTTAGTAACTATTTTATTAACTTTGTCTTGATAGCATAGAATTCTTCCAGAATTGTTTTGTCTACATTTCAGTGACATTGCAGTGGAATAAAGGAGTTAGCCCTTGCCACAAGTACATGTGGAGTTAAAGCAATGGTTTTAAAGCTGTCTAATCTCTAAAAAGATACCCAAACCAACCAACCTAAAACCCAATTTGTTTTTCAAATAATAAGCATTATGAAATATTATGTTTTGCAGACAGATCAGTAAGACCAACATTGGATACATCTCCTGATGTATGTATCAAATCTTGCACTAAAGTTGTGTGGGTGTTTTTGGTTTTTGTTTGGTTGGTTTTTGTGGGGATTTTTGTTTGATTTGGTTTTTAGAAAGACAGAAGTAGGTACTTTACTTAATATATATATATTTTAAAAAGAGGATTTCTCTTAGCAGAGTATTAGGATACTTGGACCATAATAGCTGCAGCTTGACCTCTCCACTTCAGCTGCTATTGAGTCATGTCAAAACTGTCTCCTGTTCTGCAGCTGGAACTGCATGAAAATCTACAGTGTTCCTCATCTAGTAGATTTCAAAGTGCTTTGAAAAGGTGAGAAACTCTTTGTCATTCAAAAGATGGAGGAGACAGTATTCAAATAGGTTAGGTGGTTCCTATTGCTCAGTTGCAAAGCAAATGAGTGATCTGCTTATAAACAGATCTTATTGAAGAAATAGCCTCTTAACTTTGTGGGGATTTGCTTAGCTGAGGTGGTATTCTTTAACCTATAGGGAATAGACTATGTATAGGTTGTTTTAAGAATTCAAATATTAATATAGTGCACCCTTGGCATAGATGCCATTACAGCTCTGTAAAGGAGCTTTGTGAACTACAGCCTGGGAAGAGACAGACATCCTGGTATAAAGTAACAGAGAAAGTAGGCTTTGTCCCTTGAGCTTAGGAGCACTGCCTTAGGTCAGCCCTGCAGTTTTGCCTGCCCATGCTTTTTAATATTGACATTAGATGAACATGTGTGACTGTTCTTACAGTGCCTGGAACTCTTGTGGGACCTGCTTTTTAATCTGACATTTAACGGCCTCTTTCCTCTCTGCTTGAGACTAGACTTCCATGCTATTAGCTTGCAGCTGTGGTCCAGGAAAGATGAGGCTTCACTAAGATATACAATACATGAAACACATTTCTGACACATTGCACTGGCAACCCTCTATTTGTAGGCTCTGCTGTCCAGGGAATAAAGATCATTCTCTGCTCTGTGCTTTAAGGCAGCGCTGCTGTCCTGAGAGGGCATTTACAGCATCCTCTGCTAAGAGAAGTGAAGACATCAGTGATGTGTTCTTCACAAACATTGTGTGTTAGCCAACAGTTCTCCTCAACCCTCAGATAACTGGGCTTTTAGAGGAAAATAGGATTCTACATATGGAAGAAGAAATCCTTGAGGAATTTGTCGTTCACAGTTTCTAGAAAACTGTTTTGTAAACAGTATTGAAATTCATCACAGTATTTTGGCAACAGCAAACATTAAATACAAACAAACAAACCTAGAGGTTCTTGTGGCTTAAATTGCAAAATTTCTTTGAAGTTAAGGTGCAATTGGACTGAAATATTTCTCTGCCTTTTCTAAATGTTAGAATGTGGGAGCCATGTATTTTAGCAGGATGGGGATATCTTTTACAGTTGCTTGAGGTGATTACTTCTTAGCAGAAATTCCCGTTATGAAATGTCTTAATTTCCTATGTCTTTTGTAAGGAAGGAATCATCTGCTAGGGATTTTCAACAGGAAATTAATAAGTCATAGGCAATGCAGTGCACCAGGACCATTTCCCATTTCTTTCTGGGATGTACAGTCACAGTAGGATGTACTTTTATCACTATGAAATTTAAAATATAACTGAATGTACAAAGTTCACTTTTGCGTTGAATAAGATAATTTTATTTTGGCAGTCACATGTACCAGTTGTAACATTTGAGTATTTGTTTTCACAAATTGGGAGTCACATATATTTCTTTTGACAGTTGCAGTGCTCTTTTTATGATCAAAGAAGTCACTAAAATGATTTTCGTTTTCATATTCCTGTTCAGTTTTTCTAAGTATAGCCTGTGATGGATTTCTGTGCTAGTATATTTTTATAAATGAAGAGTAAACACATTTTTATGGGTGTACACATATTTATTTTCTGTTATTTCTGTACTCTTAAATGTCACTATATCCAGAGCACACCAGTCTATTCCATCTTCATGGGATGCTTAGTTCTAAGTTGATGTGCCTGTACTTTCTTAACCTGTACTTTGCCCACTGGAAGATGATTTTTGCCCCTTGACTTTCTTGTTAATTTTTGCATGAGAAATGTATTGAATTTTCTATTATAATGTAAATACAAAATCAGATTGTAAGAGTAAATCAAATTGAAAGTTTGAAAAGCTTTTTTAGATCAGTAATGCAGAGGCTGCATCAGGAGTTTGCTTAGGTAAAGATGTTTGTTATTATTTAGATTTTATAAATGCTCATTATTTGGTAGGAAGTTTCCCATTTTAGAGGGAATTTATTTCCCAAGGACTTTAGACCTGAAAACATAGGGGAGAAGAGGAGGGATTGAATTTGTAAACTATTTCAGGGCCTGAGAATTAAAATTCTTTTATTTTATACAGACGCTATTTTTAAATGATGCTATTGTTCCTAGAAATGCCATCTAGAAGAAGAATGAGTTCTATCTGTTTTGAAGGGAGGAGAAAAAAATCCTTAAATCTCCAATATCATGAATATGACTAAAGGTAGGAAGATAATGTATATTAGAATAAATAGCCTTTTTAGTTAAAAGTATCATATGACTTACATGATTTGATCTAAATTCAGAATTTCCACAGCATGTTTACTGTGTCCATTCTGTAAAGCAAATACAGCATAGCCATCTATTTGCCAAAAAGAAAAAGAAAACCTAAAAACAGATCTTATGCTATTACATGATAACATGCGTCACATGAACAGCATATAGGAACTTTCAGAATTCTGGTAATAAATTAGATTTAAAATGGGCATGAAGGACTTTGCTTGACATTTAGATAGTTGATACCATCCTATTAAATAAAGGGTAGAATTCAAAAGCTAAGCAAGTTCCGTGCCAGTGGTAATTGTGGACTACTGCTCCCTTAAATGAGTAGTATAAATTGTGCTTGATGTTCTGTATTGTAATACAGTAATTATGCTAAGCTCTTTCTTTTGCTTGTGGATCAACTTTAAAACTGTTGATGCTGTGTAAACAATAGCAACCCTGGGCAAATACACCTTTTGAAAAGGTGCATTTGTAATGTAATCCTGGAAATAGCAATGCCATTCTATGGAAATTAGAAAATTCTACAAATGCCACAACAGGCATCTAGTTCTTGTAAACTCATACTACTCTTACAGTACACAGCTCTTTAAAAGAGAATACAGTTATTCAACGGTGTGACAGCTGCATAAATATGAAAGCTGCTGAAGTGGTGTATCATAATGGGAGGGTTTGCAAAACCTGCCACATTCTGTGGGTGCATAAATACCATTAGATAGTAAAGGGACTCTGGCTTCCAAATCTGTTTGGTTATTCTGAAAACCCCCTTGCAAGGTTGAAACTGAGACTGCGAAGAGATACACAAAGTGCACTTAATCCTTCTAAGTGGTAGCTTGAAGTAGGCAGGCTCGTGCTGAAGTGCTTTCTTTGATGCAAGGTTGAGTTCGACACTTGTGGTCTGTCACCACGGGCTGTGTGACACCGTGTGCTGCGGCCACGCGCTCGGGGACTGCTGCTCCTCCTCCAGCAGCTCTCATCGGCACCTTTAAAGGCAGATTTCCAAAATCTCTGAAAATGTGTTCCCTTGCTATCCTTTAACATGGTGGAGAACTTGCAGTTTTCCTTGTTCTGCTTCTAATTCACTGATGTTACGACGTCTGAAACTGCAGCTTTTTGGTGTGAACAGGCCTGAGGCTGACAAAAGCATGAACCACGTGCAGCAAGGACTAGAAAATGGGTGAACGAGCAAGCAAACTGGAGAACTGCCTGCTCACTTGGTCTAGTGAACAAATATTACTGCAACTTAAGTCCTGAAGAAATTGGACTGCTCCCTAAGCCTTCAAAACTTGGAGAATTTGCACATCAGGTGAGCTGGAGATACCCAGTCAGTGGGGTCCCCTCAGCTTAGAATAAAACTCAAATTCATGGTAGTAATAATGTCAATGGGAAGTAAACTTATTATAACAAATTATAAAAATAATAGGAAATTACCATGAGTCAAAATGTAACACCTTATGTTTCAGTTAGTGAAATTTGATGCATTCTATGTATTTGTGTAGTCTGCATTTTTAATGTAATTCTATTTTTTTTTAATGAAGAACTA